ACGTCCGCCGCCTCCTGCCGGCGTGTGTGAAGACCCTCCCCCGATCCGGGTGAAGCTGGGCGGGGCCAAAGATGAGACAGCAGTTCCCCCCGCCGTGGCTAGTGCCGTTCCCTCGCGGTAGGCGTAGCCGACGGCACGCCCTCGGGAAGACGTGAAGCTGCCGCGTCCCTGGGACGACAGCCCCCCGGCGGCAGCGGACTTGCCGGGGTCGGACGCACGGCGAGAAGGTACATTTCGGACTTAACGAACCTAAAGCGGGTGGTACTAGAAACGCTTCCCGGTTTCTCACCTTCCTGGTGAACTGCTTCTCCAGTTCGCGTCCCCCGTAGACGTAAGGTACGTACCTTAAGCGCCTCACCCACAGACCCTCGAGAGTCANATCGGCGCCAACAGGTCGCAGTGCCGCTGGTCCTGCACATGCTCTGCGATGCGGAAATCCAGCAGGCGGAGCCCGCCGGGGACGTGGAGACCAAACAGTGCCTCGCGGAGCGGAAGGNAACGCCCACCCTTGTTACCCGATCGGCGCCAACAGGTCGCAGTGCCGCTGGTCCTGCACATGCTCTGCGATGCGGAAATCCAGCAGGCGGAGCCCGCCGGGGACGTGGAGACCAAACAGTGCCTCGCGGAGCGGAAGGTGCAGGCCTTCGCTCACCGCATGAACGGAGGCTATAAGACCAAGAAGGCCCGGGAGTTCCAGAATGCGTGAGTCGATCTTATAAATAGTTACGTTTGACNCGCATGAACGGAGGCTATAAGACCAAGAAGGCCCGGGAGTTCCAGAATGCGTGAGTCGATCTTATCAATAGTTACGTTTGACGATAATATTTCGTCCGGGCGCCACTGCACGACGGGAATAGCTTCTCCGTCATTCGTACGAACGTAGCGCCGTAGCGAGTACTTACATGCATCCTCGTAAGCTCCTCGAGGCTTTTGTTGTGGAGGACGTGTTGAGAAGGCGTACGCATCGATCGGTGGTTGTATTGTTGCAGGTGTATCAGACGCGCACGGCGGGACCTACTTGCAGCAATTTTGCCAAGATCTTCGCCGCAGGCCACCCACCATCTATCATGCAGGGTGTTTTCTCACAGCTTCCTTTCTGTGCCCGTGCTGTTCCTTGTGTAGATTGTGGTACTACCTGTTCGGGTTCGCCACGGGCCAGTTCCGCTTGGCCGAACCCATCCTGCGCGTCCCGAAGAAGGACTTCACAAAGAAGAGCATCGTCACCCACATCGCGCCGTTCGCAGGCAAGTTTTTCCCACACGGCCGTATTTTGTTTGTCGTATCCTCAATACAGGTCATTCAGCGTTCAGGCTAGATCAATACAAAAGGAAGGATAGGGATGCCCCCGATCCGTCCAATTCGAAGCCCTGTCCTCAAAGAGACCGTCATATTCGCATTAATCTTGACTTCTGATCGTGGCGTTTATCGCGTTCGTTTGTCTTCGAACGAACGAACGAACGCAGGCGGCAAAACCGATCTCTCTGGCCCCGAGGTCTCGAACGAGGGCGACGAGGAGGTACTGGTTCGCGAGACGCCCTTCGACCGCCCCGACGATGTTATCGTCGAGGCTAGCGACCTGGATGGTTTCCTCAACAACATGTCGCCCTGAATTTCGTCTGCGCTAAACCCGGCAGCCTCTGTCTCCTCCCAAGTATGCCTGACAAGTTTTTGGGGTGGGTTTCGAAGGGGGGAGACTTCAACCTCGAAGTTGCTGCTGGTATTTCTTTGCGCGGAGTGAATGTGGTGGCTCTGACACAGCTTCGCTGCTCGGTTGTCTCATGTCCCCCACGGAGTTGATGCAGTTAAGACATCCACGCCCTGTCGCGCGGGATGGTATCATCCTGGACACCCGACCTCACCTCTGCGCTTTTTTTGTAAGGTATTTTGGATGCGTCGGAGCTGCATTGAGCAATATACACCGGCTGCGTATCACGTCGCGCAACGGGGACCTGCGCGACGTTCGCGGTGACGGTGTATGATGCATGTTGCTCAGGATGTCGGATGTTGCGTAGTCGCCTTCCGGGTCAACAAGGCAGAGATTTCTTTTCTTTTCGTTTTTCTGTGTGATCTGCTCCTGCTTTTTGGTGAAGTAGGCGGTTGGTGGCGGGGTCTTTTTCGCGTCTGTCCGATGGCGGGAGCCTGCGCCGGCTTTGGGGGGGGGGCTTGTTCTTGATACCTAGGTGAATCTCTGGGGCGGCTAAAAGTCTGCAATAGCCTTGTTGGATGTCATCAGTCTGTACCTTCTTGATCATGATGAATGTGATGATACCTTTGGTCGAGTAAAATATGCTGTTGGGGTGGCGCTTGGCGCGTTCCACACACAGTGTTTGCGGTGTCTTTGTCTTGTACTTCGTATGTTTTTGCTTCTCTTCAATGGCGGTCGTTGAATGCCCGGTCAAATGTCCACGTCGCTTCTTATATATGGCGTCACGTCCTGGAGTGTCAGATTTTGCTTTTTGCTTTTCCTGTGTCTTTGAAGCATGTATCGCGTAGGTCGGAGAGAGTAGTGATGTGCGCGTGTCATACATATACGAAACGGAGGGCATTGTATCACTAGATAATGTTCGAGTTTTGTGTACGAAGGGTCGAGATGCGTTGAATGAGGGAGAATCTTCGGACAGATGGATCGGTGTGTCATGGATTTGATATTCTGGCGCCGGCGGTTCCTGTCGGTCGATACTCCGGCGTGTTCTTTGTCATTCTTCGTGTTTCCTGTGTGCGTATAAGCATGCATGTAGCCGGTGATGCGGGAGATACTGCTGTAACCGTAGAAAACAGAGAAAATGAACCCGTTTCGCAAAATCACCCCCCCAAAGTGCACAGCCGGACTCACCGTGCCATGGTTGGTAGGCCTTGCCCTGACAAGGTTCCAGGACACCCCGGCCGTGTCAAGGTGGCAACCTAAGCGACACCTTGTCAAGGTCGTAGCCCTGGGACACCTTAGAATGTGGCACCCTGTATAGCTGCAAAATCTGGTACCCTGCACGAGGTCCTCCCCCGTAACCCTGGAGGGGTAGCCGAATGGCTACGGGTGATAGTTGTCCGTGCGAATTGTGGATTTTTGGGAGGGGAGGAGGGAGTTGTTTCGATGGTGTTGGGAACGTAACGAGGCCTATTTCTGCAGTCTCTGCATTGTTTTTGGAGGACACCGCTGTCGCAGCTGGCTCCGTCTCAGGCAGAGACGTTTTTTCTTGACTTGAGTTAGTTGCAAAATTTGGGACGGCCGGGGCGGGGGGGGGGTTGTGTGTGTCGTCTCGGGAAAGACGGTCGTTTCAACCTGTGGGTTTGGACAACACTGCTACCGCTACGTGTAGCTGTTGTCCTCGGCTGAGTGGGGGTGTGGGTCGTCTCAATGATCGACGTCGCTGACGGTCATGGGTGAGGGCATGCTGTTTTGGAGGGACATTCGATACACAGAACGACGTTGGGAAGGGTATGTAATTATGGTTTCTATTTGAAATACCTTTTATGGTTCTCGCTTACATGTCATCGTGGAACTTGGGATGTTGACGACCCTGGGTAGAGATGAGAAGCCGCCGGCGGAGATGGGTTTATGCTAGAGCTACTGGCAATGTGTATGATGCATGGGCACGGGATGTCGTCGTTTCAGAGGTTTGCTCTACCGACGGTAAATTTGTAGTCATCCGAATACAGGGGCGAAAAAACAAATGAAACATGAACAAAAAAAAACTTAGTGCAGAGGAACTGAACCCGCCACAGAGAGTGTGGAGCACTGCAGTTTGTTGTAGACCGGCCTCATCGTGCGCAATCTCTAAGAGAGGGTACGCATTGCAATACAATCGGCAACCTGCCCCCTCACCGGCTTGTTGTGCGCAACGCGTCAACCTGCAAGAAAGGATACACCTTGCACTGTTACCGGCAACCTGCCACCCAACCGGCTTGTGCGAAGCGCGCCAACCTGCAAAACAGGGTACACCTTGTCATACCATAGGCAACCTCCCCCCTTACCGACTTGTGCATGGCGCGACACTTTGCTGTTTGTTCACCACAGAGGTACCCACGATTGCTGTTGCAGCAGTGGTACCGTGTGTGTAGAATGAACTCTCGGCCCCTTGGTGTAGATTACCATGTAGTGCGCTCACTTTCGTTTCCGCTGACCGTTGATGATCTCCCAAATCTCCGAATCCAGCTTTCCGCTCGAAGTCCACAGACGGATGTCGTTGTCCACAGCAGCAGGATGTCTTGACCTCCGTCGTGACGCCCGCAGCTCCTAGTGTTCGCGTAAAGCGAGGCTCATTACCTCACAAAATGTGGCGCCCTGCAGCAGCGGAGGTGGCGGTGCTGCTGTAGCTCGTAGAATTTGTAGTCTACCACAGAGGTTACACTGCTGTCACCGCTCTATCTCAGAGGTTGGTGTACACTGCTGTGAGATCGGAAGGCCCGAGCGAGCTTTGGAAAGAGAAAAGTAGATAGATGTTCTTATCAACTGACTCCCTGGTCAGGCTTTGATGGGTGCTAGATGAGAGTGAGCACAAAGGGGCGAAGGCACGCTTGTGCCTCATCTCAACAACAAAACAAAACAAAAAACAAGCAGCAAAAACACATCAGTATTTCCAAGTCAGTTCTTCTCCTCAGATAGTATGGGATGAAACAGTGGCATCACCTCCCGCAGAGGTTGGTGTTGCCACTTCGTTGCGAATTGGAAAGAAATAAGTGCGGCGGGAAACTTGTTCTGGAACCTAGAACGACCACACTTATTTCTTTTCTGTCCGCGACGATTTATCGGAGAAAAAATTGACTGAAAATGTACTGAAAGTAGACATATCCGTTGGGTGGGCGGGTGGTGTCTCAAAGGATATCCTCTTTCCTCTGGTTTTCCTGTCTCGGACACGTGACAGAAAAGGGAGTGAAGAGCTGTGCACGACTTTCCTATATTCCGTGGATCTTTATGGTAGAAGGAAGATGGGGAACGTTCCTTTTCCTAATCTCCGCTTTTCATAATCCATCAGTATTTCCAAGTCAGTTCTTCTCCTCAGATAGTATGGGATGAAACAGTGGCATCACCTCCCGCGGCCGGTGTGTCCACTTCTCCCTTACTTGGGAGTCGTACTCCTTGTTTGACTCCCTTATCCCATACTTCCCAGAAGAAACTGCTGAATGTGTGGGCTGCTTGCCAC